CTTAGTTTGGCTGGATATGAAATTCTGAGTTCAAAATTCTTTTCTTTAAGAGTGTTGAATATTGGCCCCTACTCTCTTCCGGCTTGTAAGGTTTCTGCCAAGAGATCCTCTGTTAGTCTGATGGGCTTTCCTTTGTGGGTAACCCAACGTTTCTCTCTGGCTGCCCTTAACATGTTTTCCTTCATCTCAACCTTGATGAATCTGTTGATTGTGTGTCTTGTGGTTGCTTTCTCGAGTAGTATCTTTGTGATATTCTCTCTGTTTCCTGAATTTGAATGTTGCCTGTCTTGCTAGGTTGGGGAAGTTCTCCTGGATAATATCCTGAAGAGGGTTTTCCATCTTGCTTCCCTTCTCCCCATCACTTTCAGGTACACCAATCAAACATAGGTTTGGTCTTTTCACATAGTCCCATATTACTTGGAGGCATTGTTCATTCCTTTTCATTCTTTTTGCTCTAATCCTGTCTTCACACTTTATTTCATTAAGTTGATCTTCAATCTCTGATATCCTTTCTTCTGCTTGATTGATTTGGCTATTTATACTTGTGTATGCTTCACGTACTGTGTTTTTCAGCTCCATCAAGTTATTTATCTTCTTCTCTATACTGGTTATTCTAGTTAGTGTTCCTTTAACCTTTTTTCAAGGTTCTTAGCTTCTTTGCATTGGGTTACAACATATTCCTTTATTTTAGCTCAAAGGAGTTTGTTATTACCCACCTTGTGAAGCCTACTTCTGTCAATTTGCCAAACTCATTCTCCACTCAGTTTTGTTCCACTGCTGGTGAGGAGTTGTGATCATTTGGAGGAGAAGAGGCTTTCTGGTTTTTGGAATTTTCATAGTTTTCCGCTGGTTTTTCCTCATGTTTGTGGATTTATCTACCACTGGTCTTTGATGTTGCTGACCTTCAGATGGGGTTTTTGTGTGAATGTCCTTTTCGTTGATGTTATTCCTTTCTGTTTGTTAGTTTTCCTTTTAACAGTCAGGTCCCTCTGCTGCAGGTCTGCTGGAGTTTGCTGGGGGGGTCCACTCCAGACCCTGTTGCCTGGGTATCACTAGTGGAGGCTGCAGAACAGCAAAGATTGCTGCCGGTTCCTTCCTTGGAAGCTTTGTCCCAGAGGGACAGCTGCCAGATGCCAGTTGGAGCTCTCCTGTACAAGGTGTCTGTCAACCTATGCGGGCTAGTGTCTCCCAGTCAAGAGGTACGTGGATCAAGGATTCACTTGAGGAGGCAGTCTGTCCTGTAGTGGAGCTCAAGCGCTGTGCTGGGAGATCCACTTCTCTCTTCCGAGTCAGCAGGCAGGAACGTTTAACTCTGCTGAAACTGCGCCCACAGCCACCCCTTCCCCCAGGTGCTCTGTCCCAGGGAGATGGGAGTTTTATGGGACTTACTTTGGAGCTATTATCCCTTTTTTGTTTCCTAATTCTTCCTTTCAGAATGGGTATATTTACCTTGTGCTGATCCCACCATTGTATTCTGGAAACATATAACTTGTTTGATTTCATAAACTCACAGTTGGAGAAGAATCTGCCTCAGAATGAATCATACCTTGACTCTCACCCATATATGATTCAGGCGACGTTGTCTTTTTTTTTTGAAATGGAGTTTCGCTCTGTCACCTAGGCTGGAGTGCTATGGTACAATCTCAACTCACTGCAACCTCTCCCTCCTGGATTCAAGCGATTCTCAGTATCTCTAGTAGCAGGGATTACAGGCACGTGCCACCAAGCACAGCTAATTTTTACAATTTTAGTAGAGATGGAGTTTCACCATGTTGGCCAGGCTGGTCTTGAACTCCTGACCTCAGGTGATCCACCTGCCCTGGCCTCCCAAAGTGCTGAGATTACAGGTGTGAGCCACTACATACAGCCCAGATGATATTTTGATGAGACTTTGAACATGAAACTTTTGAGTTAATGCTAAAATGTTTTAAGACTTTTTGGAGCTATTAGAATCAAATGAATGTATTTTAAATATGAGAAGGACACAAATTTTGGGAAGCAGGTTCACAATGTTGTGGTCTGAATTTTTGTGTTTCCCCAAATTCAGACCATCTAATCCCCAAGGTGATGGTATTAAGAGTTGGGGCCTTGGGAAGGTAATTAGGTCTTTGGGAGGTCTTCACTATTCTTAATGGAATTCATTTTCTCATAAAAGAAGTCTGAGAGAATTTGTTCACTCCTTCTACCAAGTGCAAACAAAGCTAGAAGGTGCTATCTTTGAAGCACAGAGCAAAGCAGAGAGCTAGACACTCAATCTCCTGAGACCTTGATTTTGGACTTTCCAGTCTCCAGAACTGTGAGCAATAAATCCTGGTTGTTACAAATTACCCATTTGTAAGATATCTTTTTAAGCAGCCCAAATAGACTAAGACACTTCTCTTGTTTTTTCCTCAAAGACAAAGCTTCTAACATTTCACCATAGAGCATATTTGCTAAAATGTATCAGATTAAGAAAAATTCCTTCCATTTTAGCTATTAGTTTCTTTTGAAGTCATAAATGGATATTTAATTTTATCAGATGTTTCTGTTTTTTGCATTCCTGACCATCCTATAGTTTTTCTACTTTATTCGTTAATGTGATGAATTACACTGGTTCATTTAAAATGTTTAAAAACCTTGAATTCCTGGTGTAAACCAAACTTGGTTATGATATGTTACCTTTTTTAATTGCTAGAGTATCTACATTTTGGTTGGGATTTTAAAACTATGTTCATAAATGATATAGACTTACAACTTTCTCTTTTTGTAGTGCCCTTTTCAAGTTTTTGCATCAAGTTTTGTTGGCCTCATAAAATGAGATGAACATGATTTCATCTTTAATAATTCTCAGGAACATTTAATGTAATACTTGTACAATTTCTTTCTTTAAAACTTGGTGGAATTTACTCTAGTAGCCACATGAGCTAGGATTTTGGCAGTGGAGGCTCTCTATGAGATAGATGTCCAAGCTGTTATTTTCAAACAAGTACAAGTTATACAGAAGTTCTGTAATAACTTTCACCTCCACAGTTCCCTTATGAGGGAAAGTATTTTTTATCTGACCTATTCTAACAACCTTCAGCTTCTGAACCAGGTGATACATCTTTATAGTCTCTGAATTCTGAAGTCTCCTTGTCTTTACAGGTCAACCTCTAGAGAAGGGAACTCAGAAGATGGCTTGAGCTCAACTATCTTTCATGGTAATTACTTGGGCTAGAGAATAATCATATATTCTTACCATATCAAATAATGAAACAATAGGCTGTCCCACAGTCCATTCCTCCTCTCCCATCATCCATCAACTGTTGTTGCCAGCTTTCCCATCAAATAATATTCTAGTCAAGAAGCAAGCACTATGTTCACATATATCCTCCACACCCCCCCGAAGAAAACTCCAGGTACTCAAAGTTAAGACTGTTTTCCATGGACTCCTTACTGATGGTTTCAAGGCATTCTTTTGGAGCTTATAAGACTCAGCTTAGGAAGTATAGACATAAAAGTGAAATGTATAAGGTAATGTATTATTTGATAAAAGTTGATTCCAAATAAGCACAGAAAGATGAACTATTCAGGAAATGGTATTGGCACAATTCTTACTCATCAGGAAAAATATAGTTTAATACTTATTTCATATCTTATACTTAAAAAATTCCAGATAGATTAAAGCTTTAAACATCGTAAAAGAAACAAAAACCATATTAGAGAGAACATAATAATTTTTTTGTTTTTATTACATTTTTATTATTATCTTGAAGTGAGGAAGGACTTTTTAAATAAGACAGAAATTCAGAGCCATAAAAGATAACAAAAAATAGAATTGCAAAAAATTCTTTAAAATAGAAACCATCTTAAACAAAGTCATAAAGCAAACAAAAGCATGGAAGATCACTGCAAATTACACTATAGAGAAAGCTAACTTCCCTAATATGTAAACAGTTTTCACAAATCTCTATGAAGGCCAACAACTTTACAAACAAATGGACAAAGAATAGAAACAGAATGTCACAAAACAGGAAAAGATGTTCAATTTAACTTAAGATATAAGAAAATTTTACTGATATTATAATAACACACTACTCTTTACTTAACAAACTGACCAGGATGGGAAGTTTGATTATACATTGTTGTAGGAAAGGTTGTAGGAAAGTAGACATTCTAAACATTGTTGTTGGGAGTATAGTTTGACACAATCTCTATGGAGGGCTACAACCTAGAAATAAGGATTAACTGAAATTAAATTAGACTTTAATGGGAATAAAACCCAACTTTCAAAGACCTGATGTCTGCTTGAATTATGTTGTTCTCACCCTTCAGTAGTTTTTTAACCTAGACTGCCAGAGGAAATGCAGATACTTTCTGGAGGAAAATATCATCTAGAACTTCAAATTATAATATTCATTTCTCAATTTATAAAAAACAGAAACAACTAAGAAAAAAACCATACAAACTGGCATACATGAACATAATATAATGTGACCCAAAACTAAGAAATGTAATAGACTGGATACCAAATATGGAAATATCAAACACATATTTAAAGTAACACATTTTAAAGTTATACATTCAGTACCTTCAAATAAATAAAGAAAAGAGTGGTAATTTAGGAAGAGAACAGGATGTTTTAAAATAATCAAATGTAAGGTCTAGAACTGAAAAATAATACCATCAGATTAGACACAATTGAAGAGGGAGTTAGTGAACTCGAAAGGATAAGTCAAAAGAAAGTGAAATATAAAGAGAAAAAAAAGACAGAATATAAAAACAAACAATAAAGTATAAGTGTAATAAAATCCTAACAATCTCCTACTAACATCAAAATTGGGAACACTATCACAGGTTTGACTTCAGGAAAGAACAAAAAACCACAATGTGAATTTAAATTATTTTTCTTATATATTGTTAAATTTAATAAAAATCTAGGTGAGGGCTTCTTTTCATTTTTAGGACTTGAGCAGGGAACATCTAAAAAATCAAACATATTAGCTAAATAATACATATCAGAAAAAAGTTTAATTACTTACATTCCATATGCTGAGCTTACAGCAAGACTAGTAATCTGTTGCGGAGGTTCACCATCTACCCACACCAATTGAATAACAAGTTCTGCTTGATATCCTGGAGGCATTCGCACTGGCCGTGTCTTAACACTTTAAGAGCAAAAACAATCCTATTATACACAGTTTAAATAAACATGGTCAAACTTATCTTGAGAATTTACATAGAATCATGCTACAGAAATATACAACACCAGGCATTGCAGGCAGCATGCAGATGGACGGTGTCTTCTAGCTTTCTCAAAATGCACTGAGTCCTTTATGATTACTTAGTTATTTCTTTATGTGGCTTTTCAGTCAGTTAGGTCCACAACTTCAACTGGCCTTTAACACTTCAATTTTTTATTTTGAGAATATTATTTTAAGTTATTTTTATTATGTAATTATTTTTCTAATGTAATATATGTTACATATGTATCAGTTATAAAGCATAACAATAAAACAAATGACCATTAACCTACCCTCCAGTATATATATCTAGCATCTGAATTCTTATTTTCCTTTAAATCTAATATCCTTCTCTCATACTTTCCAACCAACCAATTATCAAATACTGTTGATGCTACTTTCAAAAAATATATCCATGAGCTAAAATTTTATGATGATGTTTCCTCTTTGTAGATTTTCCTCCCAGTAATATTTGCTCGTATTTCCTTCTTTTTATGTACTTCAAAAGAAAAGTTTTGAGAGGACAATCAATGATTACAAATGTATAGCATCTGTTAATTGTATGAATTTTGCTCCTAAAATCTTATCTCTAAATTTTCCATAAGCATATTTGTAAGAAATGGGAAAAGTAGTTGTCTAAAGTTTTTTGAGTAGCAAATGTAGATATGCAGCTCAAAGAAATTCCCTGCTTAGGCCTAATTCTCCAGCCGGCTAATACTAGAAATATTTGGTTTGATGGTATAGAAGCAGTAAGTAGTAATTTATACTCTACTACTAAAAATCATAAAAACAATAAAATATTACCATGGGCTTGTTAACTTTAGGTTTTATTGAACATGATGTAAATCTTTGTTTAGTTTATTAATAAATAACAGTTTTAAAAAAGAAAGATTATGCAATATACTAGCAATCATGAAAGAAATCCTTTTTTCTAACGTAGAACTCTTGTAGTAGATAGTAAACTTGGTTTTCTTTTTGGTTCCAAGAAAGCTAAATAAATTACATAAACATACTTTTAAATATTATCATTATTATTTTTTTGGAGACAGGGTCTTACTGTCACCCAGGCTGGAGTACAGTGGCAGGACCACAGCTCACTGCAACCTTAAACTCCTGGGCTAAAGTGATTCTGCCGCCTCAGCCTCCCTAGTAGCTGGGACTACAGGCGTGTACCATCACACTCAGCTAATTTTTAAACTTTTTGTAGATACAAGGTCTTGCTATGTTGCCCAGGCTGGTCTCGAACTCCTAGCATCAAGCATTCCTCCTACCTCAGCCTCCCAAAGTGTTGGGAATACAGGAGTGAGCCATCACACCCCATAAATATACTTTTTCAATTGGAAACTACCAAGCAAGTGGCCAAGTTTCTGCCCTGCCAAACTTCCTATTCTATCAAAGCCATGTTTTCTTTAGAGTCCTTCTGGGAAGGAAATATATAAATAAGTAAATGAAGGATGAAAATATTATGCCCTCTTCACGGATGTTAAAAAAAAAGACCAGATTAACCCCTGAAGAATTGTAGATCACTTGACAACAACTTGATAATTAGAGAAAATTAATTTTATTTGTCACAATTTCAAAGACATATGATTCATATATAAAACTGTTTTAAAATTTGGTAGAAACTCTTACTTGAGGCATGGGATACTGTCCTTTGTTACTCCTTCACTAGCAACAGTGTTAGTGCTCCCAGAAAGACTCCCTGAAGAAGGAAGCTGGGCTGAGAGATCTGGAAACGGAGGACTTGTTTCTGGTTCAGGGGTAATAATATCTTCAACATCATACTGAAGTCGTACCTCTAATGACTTAAAAAAATCAAGTTTAAATTTAATCTAAGCCACAATAATAATCATCATTTTAATTTAATCTAAGTCATAATAAATAATCACATTAAAATACCTGATAACTTTTTAGGAATCATTCACACAGTTTTTTTCAAATTAATAAGTTCAATACTACTTATAGTAAAGTTGGGCAGTATCTCATACTAAATCAAATAGTTAATTATATGGAATATTCAATGGCAATCACAAAAAATGTAAATTTTTAAATTTCAGAATTAAAAGAAAAATAACTCAGTGAAGATAGTTTTTATATAATAAATATATTTTACGATATAGTATAAATTACAATTTGATATGTGATAAAATAAAATGAGAAGTTGGTTATGGTTATTCCAATGAAAGAAATTAAACTTTTTTCATATACACACACAAACATGTATGTGTGTATTGTGTATGTTTGTGTGTGTATAAAAAAATTACTTGTTTAAAGTATTTAGTATAAAAAACTTTCATTGCATTTTTAACTTTGCATTAATTCACTAAAAATTTTCCAATAGAAATTCCATATTTTTGGTTGGTTGTTTCATTACCTTGGCTTTTGTTTAATTTAATTAGTTGATCAGAATTACTTGATAAAAAGCATATAACAATTTATATAGGAATAAAAAGGTGACCTAAAACCTTTTTTAAACTAAAAAAGTTTTAAAACTAAATACTTTATGAATGCATAAAATACATTAAATGATTTAATTAGAGCTGATTTTATAACACATATTTGCCTTACAATGTAAAAGTGAGCATTTTTGAGATTGAAAACAATTACTTACAAAAATGTCATTATGGGAATATTACCAAAATTATTGTCATAATTATTTTAAAACTATAGAAAAATATAGTTTTCTGGTGGTGACAATACAGTTATCAATTATTGAGTGCTCACTACAGTAAGGACACTATTATAATGTCTTTATACAATCCTCACAAGAACCCTATGAAATTGGTATCTGTATTTCAAGTTTATTTTCCCATTTTATTTACACAGGGACGTACACGTGATGAAACTGAATCATAGCTACATTCTACTGCTGACTTATGACTTGCTCAGAGTCACACAGATATTTAATGGGAAAGCCAGAATTAAAACGTAGGTTTATCTGACTCCAAAGCCTTGGCTTTTAGCTACTATATAATAAAAGGGTGATACTAATTTTAGCTGTTGAGGTAAAAACACTTACACACAGGCCTATAGTAAATAATCTTTATATTCTGGTAAAAGGGGCAAGGTAGAGAAGGACAATTGTTTATAGGTGGCTTCATTTAGAATTAATTTATCCCATAAAATCATTATTCTTTTGAATAAGTGGAGTATTCATTGATTTAAAAATTAAGATTAGGTAAGGTTGCCCCGCAATTAGATCCACCCCGTAAAAATGTTGCTACACAGAAAATCATTAAAAATAACCTTATTGTAGCTGAGAAATAATCATGTATGGCAAACAGTTGATGAGAAAATACAAATCAGATACACTTAAAAATTAATAAAAGTATAGAACAAAGAAAGCCTGCATTAATTTGATTTTTATGCAAAATAAATCAATAACTACAGGTATAAAACCTATACATTTTATTAGTATATATAGAAGAATATATAGGTATATATTCCACAATATATACATATTTCAAACCATCATGTTGTAGAGTTGACTTATTTTGGCCAGGTAGCTGCGACTCACATAAAATCAAAGAGAAAAATGAGAAAATTGTGACATGTTTAATTTGTAACAAGATTAACTTAAAATACTAAGCTTGTTTTGACATTGAAAAAAATATCAAGGTTTGATAGAGAATTGTTTTGGCCTTTTAAGCCAAACCATTTATTAATATGTTATAGTAAGTAACAATAATAATTTAAAATCCTACGAATTGTATTACTGACCACATAGTGCACACTTCATGGAAACTATACCAAGTAGTAGTCAAATCTATGATAATAGTTTTCTTTTAATAACTGTAAAAGTGAAAGTTAAATTTTAAATAACTTACCACTATTTCTGTTGTAATTTCATGTCTGCTGAATTTATAAATTATGACATATGCAGAGACTCCTGATACACAGAATATTCTGCTCTCTGGACACCAGTAAATCATCTGAATGGCAAATGGGTCTTCCTCTACAATTTCACATGTTTGTTTTCCTTCTCCGACCTTCTGTTTTTCAAACACTTTTGAAGTTTTTAGCTTGTACAGCATCTGCAGAGTTACTATAAGACATCGAAGCACAGTTATCTTCTAATTTAAACTTAATTCTTAGATGTTATTAAAGCTTTACCAATATATTTGTTAAACCACAAAAGTAAACCTAAGTAGACAAAGTGAATTACATTTATCTAGTAAGCATTTAATGTCACGCTTTCATATAGTACAGTAGCTAGAGGGAGACTACAGGGAAAAAATAAACATTCCTTGAATATATACTACATACCAAAGAATATATAGTTGCTTTCTTGAGTCATTCTCAGAAAAGTCTCATGAAGGAAGTATTTTAATCATTATTTATTGATGAAAATATTGGGGATCAGAAAGTCTAAAATGGGAATATTGAAAATAATTCTTCCCTAGCAGAGACTCCTTAATTCTTTATCTCAGTTTTCCCCTTTCATTGCTAGATGAGAGGGTGATGGTATTCCTAGAGGGTTTACTCCTCTCAACAAATTTTTAGACACTCCTTGAGATAAGAAACATTGTAATTTACCAGTTAGCAATATTGGGAGTCCAAGAATCTGTAACTATTTAAGAAGGGATCTTTTCTGAGTGGCTCTGTGTCAAGAAAGGGTCAGATATAATCTCCTAAATTGTGTTTGTGAACTGTTTTCAAGAATATTTGGGGGAATATTTTTCCATTGGAGACCAGATGATAATAACTCTATAAAAGAACTATGATTCTACAAAGGATCCTTGAGTAAAGTTTTAAATATGAGTCCTGTGAAAAGTGCATCACCTGAATCTAATAATGAGAAACATTAGTCAAAACCAGACTGAAGGAGATTATATAAAATAATTGGCCTGAACTCCTCAAAAACCTCTATGTCATGAAATGAAGACTCAGGAACTTTTCCAGATTTTTTAAAACTCAGAACATACAATGACTAAATGCAAAAATAATCCTGGAATTTTTTGTTGTAAAGAATATTAATCTGCGGCCGGGCGCGGTGGTTCACACCTGTAATCCCAGCACTGTGGCAGGTCGAGGCAGGCGGATCACCAAGTCAGGATATCGAGGCCATCCCGGCTAACGTGGTGAAACCCCGTCTCTACTAAAAACACACACAAAAAAATAGCCGGGCGTGGTGGTGGGCGCCTGTGGTCCCAGCTACTTTAGTCGGGAGGTTGAGGCAGGTGAATGGCGGGAATCCAGTGGGCAGAGCTTGCAGTGAGCCAAGATTGTGCCACTGCACTTCAGCCTGGGTGATGGAGTGAGACTCTGTCTAATAAATAAATAAATATATATATACACACACACATATACATACATATATATACACACACACATATATACATACATATATATGTGTGTGTGTGTATTTGCAAAAGCTGAATAAAATCCGCAGATTAGATAATAGTGTTGTGTCAGTGTTAATCTACTGGTTTTGATGACTAAAGTCTGGTTATGTAAGCGAATGTTTGTAGGAAATACACACTGAAGTATTTAGGGGTATGTAATGTGTCTCCAACTTACTCTCAAATGGATAAGAAAAAAAGCTATATGTATATATGTACATGTGTGTGAGAGAAAAATGTGAGGAGGAAAGAGGGAAAGAGTAAGAGAGAGAGCCGGAGAGAGGGAAAGAATATTTGGAGAATCTGGTTGAGAGGTATAAAACATTTCATAGTACTTTTTTTTGCAATTTTTTGTAAGCTTGAAATATGTCAAGCTAAAATAGATTTTTTTAAAAATGGGCAAAGGATTGTATTGGGTGCTATAGCCTGGCTTCTGAGGTCAGGATATCATTTCTATGATTATTTATGTTACATAACAACAGTAAAATGATGTTGCAGACATCATTAAGGTCCCTCATTAGTTGACTTCGAGTTAATCAACAAAGAGCTTATTCTTAACAAGCCAAACCTAATCAGATGGCCCCCTTAAAAGAGGGACTGAGGCCCTCCCTGAAGGTAAAGAGACACTCTCTCTTGCTAGCTTTGAAGTAGCAAGCTACCGTGAGCTCTGAATGTGCAAGAAAATGAAGTCTGCCAACAATTACATAAGCTTGGAAGAGAACCTTGAGTCTCATGAAGCCGCAACCCCAGCCAACACCTTGATTACAGCCTTGTGAGACCCCGAGCAAAGGACCTAGCTAAGGTATAATCAAATTCCTAACACACAGAAACAGTGAGATGACAAATGGGTATTGTTTTAAGCTGTTAAATTGTGGTAATTTATTACTCAGCAATAGAAAACTAAGATACATAATAATATAAACTCAGTTATTCAAATTCATTTTGCTTTCTGTATTAGACAGTGTTTCACAAAGTTAGCGAACCAAGTGATTTTTTTTAGACATCCATTAAGTTGGAGATTGACCTTGATTACAGTAAAAATATTAAACATGCTGCCATCATTTGCAATTTATATTCTAAATGTGATAAAATATTTATTTAAAAACTACCTTCTCAAAATATTATTATGCATGCTTAATGGTGTTATTCACTCTAATAATTTAAGTGTTAAAGTGTTCTCTACATTTAATTTAATTTAATTAATTTATTTATTTTATTTATTATTGTTATTTTGTTTGGAGATGGAGTCTTGCTCTGTCACCCAGGCTGGAGTGCAGTGATTTGATCTCGGCTCAGTGCAACCTCTGCCTCCCGGGTTCCAGCAATTCTCCTGCCTCAGCCTCCCAAGTAGCTGGGACTATAGGTGCATGCCGCCACACCTGGCTAATTTATATATATTTTTTTTCTTTTAGTAGAGACGGGATTTCACTGTGTTGCCCAGGCTGGTTTCGAGCTCCTGAGCTCAGGCAATCTGCCTGCCTAGGCCTCCCAAGGTGCTAGGATTACAGATGTGAGTCACCACGCCCGGTCCTCCACATTTTAAAAGCCAAAAAGTGACTGAGGCGGTGGGAAAGGAGCATTGGCATCACTATGCAATGAATTTTGTTCCAGGAACAAACTCAAAGATTCATCAACAGAAAGTCTGTTGCCCTTTGAAGTTTCTCTTTAGGCACTTGCTTTTTATTATGTGAAATCAGAAGGGGACTTTAGAATGCATGAGTTTAGATCTTTTAATCCTTTTCTCTTGCTGATAGTTTGTTTGCTTGTTCAAGGGACTCTACCTTGTGGGCTAAGAATATTGTCAATATTCAACCTTCTTCCTCTGCTTGTGTGTTTATTGTAGTCTTCCTCAGAAGCTATTCATTTCTACAGCTTCAAACATCACTTTTATGCTGCTTCTTCATTGGTTTCCATTTCTGACTTTTCTCCCTACCTGCTGGATATTTTTACTTGAATTTTCTGGTTTTACTAAAAAATTCAAAGCTCTCTTATATTCCTTCTTTCCAAAAGAGTTACCTACATCTTCCTGGTTACTCATATGCAGAAACTTAGAGTCACTGTTAACTTGTTCTTCACTCTTATTCCTCTCAAAAGTTAACTATCTTCCAAAACTCACACTAAATGTTAACTCCATCAAAATACCTTTCCTGGATCTACCAGGTCTCAATAAGGCTCTCTCATTTCTGATCTAAATAATCTGCATTTAGAGTTCTTATATTGCTTTCCCTATAGTTATATATGTGCATTTCTTTACCTTTTCTAATGACCACAATTTTTCTGAAGGGTATATGTGAGTATAATGAAGTCTTAAGTATCTTTGCATGACCTTCAACATTGAGCAGAGTACCTTATTTATTCTTTAAGTTACATAATTCTCAAGAATTTAAAAAGAGTTCTTACAGTTATCAAATCATTTGATCTTTGCAGGATGTGGTAGATGAGTGGGGAAGAAAAGAGAAGACTGGAGGGATATAAGCACTTGGTGAAGACCACACAGGTAGGACGTGAAGGAAATTCCTTGAACAGAGTTAATCTGACAAAGTTTGGTACTTTTTCTGATGTATCATGCCTCTTGTGGATATAACGGGTTGCTGACAAAGAGTGACTTAGTCTTGTTTACCTTATATTACAGAAGAGAAGTAAAGTAGAGATAATACTTTCAACTGATCTAACAATGTAGGTAATGGATTTTTGTAACACAGCCACATAGGTATGCTAAAAATACATCTGAAATTTTAATTGCCCAAACTAAAAAGTGGTAGTTGGCTATAAGTAAATACTAACCAATTGGTTTCTGTTGTACAGAAACTTGAAACTTACTTGCAGAAGCATCCCAAAATTTTATTGATCCATCTGCATGACTAGATGAGAAATAAATTAGCATTAATTAAAGTATACTAAATAAAAATAATAATCACTCCAAATGTACAGAAACTTGAGTTACTGTTGATACAATTTTGATTCAAAAATATCACGTTAATGAAAACTAATGTATGCTAAACCATTTCTAAGCTTAAAACAATGGTTCATTTCTTAAACAATATACTAAAATCTAAAGATTAGAAAAAGAACAATAATTCCTTAGACTTTACTGTAAAAAGATTATATGTGTAATGGAGAGCAATGAAACATGGCCCGTGGAAAGTGAACAACATATTTTCATGTAAAATTATTTATATTCAATAAAATGATAATTTTGATATTAATATAAATATGAATTGAATATCACAGTAAAATTGAAGTTAAGTTTCAAAATATAAAAGCAAATCACCAAATGTATCTAGAGTTGCATCATTATTTGGTAATAATCAAATGTCAATTCTATAAAAACTCATCAAGAAAATAGAAGAAGATATAATACTTCCCAACACTTTTGATGAAGTCAGCATTACCCTGACACCAAACCCACACAAAAACATTACAATAAAAGAAAATTACAAACCGATATTCCTCATGAGAATAGGCATAAAAATTGTCAACAAAATATTGGCAATGCAAATCAAGTAATATATAGAAAGGATAGTACATAATGACTAAGTGGGTTTTCTTAGGAATATAAGACAAACACTTAAAGAATCAACTACCATATTAAAATTCACCATATTGACAGATTACAAAAGAAAATCCATATTGTTATCTCAATAAATGCAGAAAAAGCATTTGACAAGATTTATCATCCATTCCTAAAAAAACTTTCAGTAAACTGGGAACAGAGGAAATTTCTATAACCAGGTAAAAGGTGTGTAGGAACAACCTACAGATATCTCCTAACATACATAATAATGAAAGATTGAATGTTTTCCCCTAAGATCAGGAACAAAGCAAAAAAAATGTTCACTCTCACCATTCTTATTCAACATCTTATTGGAGGTGTTAAGCACTGAAATAGGGAAGAAAAAGAAATAAAAGGCATACAGACTAAAAGGGAAGAAATAAAATTATTTCTATTTGCAGATTTTATGGCTATGTAGAAAATCCCAGAGATTCTACACAAAGGATACTGGAACTCATAAATGATTAGCACAATTATAAGACACAATATCAATATACAAAAATCAATTGTATTTCCATGGAATAGCAATAGACATTTGGAAATAACAAAATAGTACCACTTACGACAGTGCCAAAACCAAGAAATAGATAAAATCTAACACAGTTTGTGCCAGATCTGTATGCTGAAAATTGTAAGATGTTGACCAAAAAATAAGGCATTAATAAAAGGAGATATATGTTATTGATAATTGTATCACTTATTAGATGTTTGTTCCCCTAAATGGCATATACATTCAGTGTAATCACAATTAAAATATGGTAAAACAATTTTTTGTAGAAATAAACAAACTGATGGTCATACTGCCCAAAGCAATGTGCAGATTCATCACTATTCCTATCAAACTACCAGCATCATTCCTCACAGAAGTAGAAAAAAAACTATTCTAAAATTCTTATGAAACCAAAAAAGAGCCTGAATAGCCAAAGTCATCCTAAACAAAAAGAACAAAGCAGGAGGCATCACACTACTCAACTTCAAACTATACTATTAGGCTACAGTAACCAAAACAGCATGGTACTGGTTCAAAAACAAACACATAGACCAATGGCACAGAAGAGAAAACTCAGAAATAAAGCCTCACACCTACAACCATGTGACCTTTGACAAGGCTGACAAAAACAAACAATGGGGAATGAACTCCTTATTCAATAAGTGGTGCTGGGATAAGTGGCTAGGCATATGCAAAATAGTGAAACTAGACCCTTACCTTTCACCATATACAAAATTTAACTCAAGATGGATTAACAATTTAAATGTAAGACCTCAAACTACTAAAATACTAGAAGAAAACCTAAGAAATACCCTTCTTGATATCAGCCTTGGCAAAGAATTTATAGCCAAGCCCCCAAAAATGATTGTGACAAAAGCAAAACTTGACATGTAAGAACTAATTAAACTCAAGAGCTTCTGCACAGCAAAAGAAACTATCAACAGACTAAACAGACAACCTACATAATGGGAGAAAATATTTACAAACTATGCATCTGACAAAGGTCTAATATCCAGAATCCATGAGGAACTTGAAAAAACCAAAAAGCAAAAAACAGATAACCCCATTAAAAAGTGGGCCAAAGACATGAACAGACACTTCTCAAAAGAAGACATACAAGCAGCCAATAAACATGAAAAAATGCTCATCATCACTAATCATCAGAAAAATTAAAATCAAAACATGACCAGGCACAGTGGCTCACACCTGTAATCCCAGCACTTTGAGAGGCTGAGGGGGGAAAATTATGTGAGGTCAGGAGTTCTAGACCAGCCTGGCCAACATGGTGAAGCCCTGTCTCTACTAAAAGTACAAAAATTAGCCAGGCATGGTGGCACAGACCTATAATCCCAGCTACTTGGGAGGCTGAGGCAGGAGAATTGCTTGAGCCCAGGAGACAGAGATTGCAGTGAGCCGAGATCATGGCACTGCACTCCAGCCAGGCCAACAGAGCAAGTCTGTCTCAAAAAAAAAAAATAAATAAAAAGAAAGAAAGAAAATCAAAACACAATAGGATACAATTGTACAACAGTCAGAATGGCTATTATTAAAAAGTTGAATAGTAACAGATGCTTGCCACATTGCAGAGAAAAGGGAATGCTTAAACATTGTTGGTGGGAATGTAAATTAGTTAAGCCACTACTGAAAATAGAAAGCAGTTGGGAGATTTCTCAAAGAACTTAAAACAGAGTTACTATTTGACCCAGCAATCCATTACTGGGTATATAAACAAAGCAACATAAATCATTATACCTAAAAGGCACATGCACTTGTATGTTCATTGCCATGCTATTTACAATGGCACACGGAATCAACCTAGGCACCCAACAACAGTGGACTGGATAAAGAAAATATGGTACATATGTACCATGGAATATTACATAGCCATGAAAAAGAGTGAAATCATGTCCTTTACAGCAACATGGATGTTGTAAGCCAGCACAGGAACAGAAAACTAAATACCACATGTTCTCACATATAACTGGGAGCTAAACATTAAGTACACATGGACATAAACACAGAAACAATAGACACTGCAGACTACTAGAGCAGGGAGGGAAGGAGAGGGATTTGGGTTGAAAACTACCTGTTGGCCGGGCGCGGTGGCTCAAGCCTGTAATCCCAGCACTTTGGGAGGCCGAGATGGGTGGATCACGAGGTCAGGAGATCGAGACCATCCTGGCTAACACGGTGAAACCCCATCTCTACTAAAAAATACAAAAAACTAGCCGGGCGAGGTGGCAGGCGCCTGTAGTCCCAGCTACTCGGGAGGCTGAGGCAGGAGAATGGCGTGAACCCGGGAGGCGGAGCTTGCAGTGAGCCGAGATCCGGCCACTGCACTCCAGCCTGGGCGACAGAGCGAGACTCTGTCTCAAAAAAAAAAAAAAAAAAAAAAAACTACCTGTTGGGTACTATGCTCACTACCTGTGTCTAATATGCCCACGTAGCAATCCTGCACATGTACCCCTGAATCTAAAATAAAAGCTGAAATTATTTTTTTAAAAGAAACTAGATTAGCCAAAATAATTTTGAAAACTAAAAACAAAGTTGGAGAACTCAAACTACATAAGGTTTAAGTCTCACCCTAAAGCTACAATAAAGTTTTTGTGCTACTGGTGAAAAACAGACACAGACAGCAGTGAAACAAGGTAGAGAGTCCAGAAATAGAACCATATTTATATGGTCAACTGATTTTTTATTTTGAGAGGTGGTTAGTCACTGAGTGGCTTACTCTATTTTGTTAATAGCTTTATTCAGATGTAATTTACATAACTATAAAATTCAACCACTGTGAGTGTACAGTTTGATAATTTTTAGTAAATTTACACAGTTGTCACATTGACATCATTATCCAGTTTTAGGACATTTCCGTCACTCCAAAAAATTACTCATGGCAATATGGAATCATGTTTCCCATCCCCAGCAGATCCCCAATAATCTACTTTCTGCCTATATAAATTTTTTTTTTCTTAGAATGTTTATATAAGTGGAACCCACATAATATCTACTGTTTTTGTGTCTGCATTTTTCACTTAGCATAATGTTTTTGAGGATAATCTTTCTTACATGTATTAATAATTTGTTCCTTTTTGTGGTTAAATAGTATTCCATTGTATGGATATACTCTATTTACCCCTTCACCAAATGATGAACATTTGGGTTGTTTTCAGTTTTTGGCTATTACAAATAAAGACTATGAATGACTTTGTATGTTTACTCTAATTATAAACTTACAGATATTTTTAAACTTTATTACTAAAAAAAATCTGCAGGATGTTGGTCTGAGACTCTATATACCCTGACAAAATTTAATTCTATTTTATTTTTCATCATGTAATACTTGATATGAAAATAACAATGTATGTAACAGATTTAATATACAGAATATAATCGTATTGAAACCACTCAACCAAAGAACTAACATTACTAATAACTTGCATCTACAGATGTGTGGCCTAACAGAGCAGTCCCCAACCTTTTTGGCACCAGGTACTAGTTTTGTGGAAAACCACTTTTCCACAGACGGGGGTGGTGAGAGATGGATTTGGGGTGAAACTGTTCCACCTCAGATCATCAGGCATTAGTTAGATTCTCATAAGAAGCATGCAACCTAGATCCCTTGCATGTGCAGTTCATAATAGGGTTCGTACTCCTATGAGAATCCAATGCTGTACCTGATCTAACAGGAGGCAGAGCTCAGGTGGTAATGCTCACTTGCCTGCCACTGAACTCCTGCTGTGTGGCTTGGTTCCTAACAGGCCATGGACTGGTACTGGTCTGCAGCCCAGGGGTTGTGGACCCCTGGCCTAACATATTAC